CAGAGACCAGGCCAGAGACATGGAAGAAAAGAGGAGATTCTGGTGTAAGGGAGAAGACAGCGATGAGAGAGGAAAGAGTGGATAAAGAGAGAAAGAAGTTGGACGAGAGATGACAAGAGATGCCATGGATGTAGAAAAGTAAGGCACTTGGTAGCCAATTGTCCACGAGGTGTTTCGAATATGAAAACGAGGGACATACCGTGAGACAATGCCCTTATATGAGTAGGCGGGGAGAAATAGGACGAGGCGAACCAATCAAGGTGAATGCACAAAGATTGTGGAGGAGAAGAATAGCATCTGAGTCAGAGGACTCATCGTTTGAAGAATAGGCCAACTGCAGATGACAGGGCATTGATGTTCACCATTTTAAAGAGACCCCAAAAGCAAATAAATACATGATCAAAAAGCAAGTACTTTCTGGCTCTGAATGATCGAACGTCTTGAAACTAAACATCAATTATACACCCCTGCGTGGAGTACCAGGTGTCAGCAGACAGGTCAGAGAAGTTGAGTCTCTCTATCGTAAATATGGCAGAGAGTCTGAAACACCAGGTCATTTGCTGAGAAAATACCCTAACAACTCTCTGTCATAACATGCTGGCATCATAGGGTGAAGTTCAAGTTGATAAGGCTCCTTAGAGAAAAGGATTCACCTACTATGAAGAGGTCTATCGCATCGACAGTGAAGGCTCTACAATATATGCGGATATTGTCGCATTTCCCAAGAGAGGAAGGACAGCGCTGATCTTGGATCCAACTGCACGCTTTGAGAGCAATGACCTTGATCAAGCGGGTGAAGGGGAAAGGGAAAAAAAGAACACATGATAAATATATTCCTTTCCTATAAGAGAGTTCCATGAGACCTTTGAAGAGAGAGAATTCACCGTGAGGGGCTTTTGGTTTGGATCTCGTAGTACAATTTCAAGAAGAACAAGGAGCTTTTTTGAGGAACTAGGTGACGAGGACGTAGCAATGTTGGATGAAAACATAGTCCTCAACTCCTAGGGAATCATTTACCACCACGTGCATGCATAGGGTGAGAGTTTTAATTTATTTATTGAAAATGTTTATTGTATTTGTTTATATTAAATTTTATTTAATTCTTGTTATATATATATATATATATATATATATATATATATATATATATATATATATATATATACACTTTTTTTTTTGTTATTGTTTCTATTTTTAGTTTTAAACATATGAATACTAGTAGAATATAAGAGAGTTGTATAAATAGAGATAAACAGAGAGAATGGAGAGAAAGGGAAATTAAATTTTAAAAAGAAAAAATGCATGAACAAGAAAAAAAAAAGTATAGTTATATTTATTATAACCTGTACCACTAACAACCCATGAAGGGTCTTGGGTTCAGTACAATGTGAGCAAGTACTGTTACAAGACCAACGGTTGTGCAGGGAGGTGACAGGCCAATATCAAGCTTAACCGTCAGGTTTTCCTACTTAATTAATTATTTAATTAAGAATATCCACTTCGAGAAAAGGAAATAGCTCTTTATCTTCTTAGTGCCTTAGACCATAGATTGTGCCAATATCTAATTACTTTTCAGAAGAGCACATTCTCTGTTCTCTTTTTCGATTCCTTCAAAGATCTTTTCCAGATTCACTAAGAAGAAGAAGAGCTATTTCACTTTCCTGATGGACCTCTCTGTAACCTGCTTCAAAGTGAAAATAGTCACAATGTGTGTTTTGTGAATACGTACAAGTATCCAGGCTACCTAGAGGAATGTTGCGAAAACAAGTATAAGTGGGAGCAACCTACTTCAGGACTTGAGTTAGTCCACTTCAGCTAAAGCTCTGCTCCAGTAAAGATATAGTGGTGAAGGGGCCCCTATCACCAAGTATGAAATTGCCTTATTTCAGTAGAAAGGGTGAGTTACTTAGTTTTTACAATGCATATTCCTCACTAGTGCCTTATAATACAGTCCACTGAAAATTATTTCATATGTTGCCTGCCTTATGTTAAACTTAGTCAAGTTGGTTGCTCCTTCCTCATTCTCTTAATGTATTTTTCCAATTTTTGGGTTCACTTTCATATTTTTTTCTCATTAATTATTATTAATTAGTATTTTGAGACCAAACACTAACAATTAGTTAATTTTTTTATTAGTGACTATGCATTATATGTAGTTCAGATCAAGTACATATTTAGGTTTATAAAAAGATTATTAATATCTTAATTGTGGATTGATGGTTGACTGTAGTGAATAATTGAAGAGAAGATTGGTTGTGGTGTTCAGTAATTATAATAATTTTATTTTATTATTTACTTTAGAGACCTTCTTAAACATCCTTAGAATAGAAGTAATAAAAAAAAAATTGTACAAATTTTTTGGACAATTAGGTAAATTATTTCATTAATAATTGTTTGTTAATACAATCAAAATTATTACCAACAACGTTATTATAGCACTATAACAATGCCATTTATGAGTGCTGGATGAAGTGGCAGAGGCCTGTAGGCGTCTACGCCAGTACTGCTTTTCCATTGATTAAGATTTTTTTACGGAACTGCTTCAAATATTTTAAAAAGTAATCAGTGTTTTAGAAAGAGAAATTCTGCAGTATGTTTTATTTCAGGGGCGTTTTTCATTATTGTTGGCCATTTAATTACAAATGACGCTTGATTTTCAACTTGAAAAAAAATACTGGTGTTTTTTATTGCTAAAGCCAAAAATATTTTTCATGTTTTATTATTCTTTAACTATTCTGCTTTAATAAAAGGGCTTATGACAAAATTAAGCCAAATATTGATTCTTAGTGGCCAAAAAACTAACTCAAGTCAAAGTCGACAGCCCGCTATATTTGGGAGTGTATTTACTTTTTTTGTGGGAACATTGGTTTTTGTTTTTAATAAATAGTTACCAGGAATACAATGGTATGCAATTTATAGGGATGTGGGAGAAGAGGGGGGTGCACGGTTGGGGGATCTGGCCCACCGACTAACTTGGTCACAATTTGGACCAACAAATGAAGCAATATGGGAGTAAATATTTTTTTTATGAAGAAACAAAGTTTATGTTCGTTTTTCTAACTTATCTTAAAAAAAAAAAACTCTTAAATACAAATTTTTATAACAATTGTAAAATTAAAATTTTCTGCCAGAAATTTTGCCTAGGCCAAACCCTTCGAAATTTTGTTAACAACTACAAAAATTGAGATGACTTTAGAATGGCCCTACCAATCCATAACAAAGTTATTAGGGATTTAGAGGTCTATATACTACAACACCAACCTCCATAAACAAATTTGAACCAATGATATAAAATAAAATTATTGAGTTTTTCTTAATATCTAGTTTAAAAATTAATTAAATCAAAAAGTAATTGATGTGGGCTAGAGGAGCAGTAATTCAGTTTTACAATGGTTGTACTACTGTTGAATTTGGAGAAAATCTTGAGAAGTTATACATGCTTTGGTTGTCGGCTAAAAAAAAAAAATCCTTTAAGAAAATCTAGCATTAAATTTTGTAATTTTTTGGTTTTTATAACAACTTATTTTTAAAAGTTTCAAAGGACACTAAAAACGAATTTAACTTGCTTTTCCAAAACGTAAATTTACTTGGTTTACTTTACAGGAACCGCATTTAGATTTTTGTAATTTATGATACATTATATCTCATCTAAAGTTGAGCAACGCCAAGCGTGGTTAGCACTTGGATGGGTGACCGCCCACCAGGGAAAGCCACGCTGCCTGAGATCTCTCCCTAGGAATTTGAGGCCCATCAGACTACTAGAGGCAACTCATACTGACCGGGCATAGGACTGATGACCCCACCCCCCTGTACTTATATCAGGTATCGGAATGTGGACTAGAAGACCACATCTCGCTGTAGCCCCAAAAGAAAAAAAAAAAAAAATCTCATCTAATACCATAGTCAATATTTTCCCTTATTCTACACAAAAAAAGAAATTGATTAAAACATACTAACCTAAAAATCCAGGCAAAAGAAAAAATAAAAATAAATAACATAAATGTTCTTTGAAATTATATTAACATTCTTTTTCTCATTGGAACGAACGCCGAGACATGTGTCTAATATTTTTTCATGTAGTATCACCGAAAAATATTTGGTTGAAATATGTGATCCATTGACAGTAGTCTCTCCTTGTAAGTGTTACCGTCAAAATTATAGAGGGGTTGGTTTAGGAAAGTGAAAAATTAGTTTTACTTTTAATTGTGAATTGAATATGTTAGAGATATCTATTTCCTTCCCATCAACATCAAAGAGGTTTTATGTATGTGTATTAATATATATTCATATAATCCTATAAATAATTAATAATACATATATATTATTGGTATAAAAAATCAGACATAATTTCATCAAAATAATCTTAAAATACAAGACGTGTGATATTGGTGGAGCATTCAATCATTATAGATAGGTGTTGATTTTGTTCAGATGAGATTATTCATAAATATTATTGAATTTGTAAATTAGTAAAACATTCATATTTTTTTCTAAAAAAAGATGTTCAGATATTGTTGAAAAAACTTATTATTTTAAACATATGAAAAATTCCCTCAAAAATTAGGTCAATCTCTTACAGTAAATTGAAATATGAGCTAAGTAAAAATAATATATGTAAATAATTTTGCAGAAATGTCTGATTCAATGCACTCGCTGTACAGAACTTGGCAAAACAAGAATTAGTAAAAAATAAAATAAAACAAATAAATTCAAAACTACAAAATTTCAATAGTTTTAATATAAATTCATAAGAAGATATAGGAAAATCGATGGTTATAATAAAATCATATTGTTTTGTGTTGAAATAAACAAATTCAGTCTGCTCACTGATATATGGTAAGGTCAAGGACTAACAACATTAATAACGAATGAATTTTAAAATGCAAAACCAAAAAGAAAAATAAATAATCCTTAAAGAAACAGTCATAAAATATCAATAAAAAATAAACACTATGAAACATTATGTCACAACAAATAGGTGAAAATTAAAAAATATATACCTAATAATGTTTAAATCTTATTCATTGCTGGAACTGAACTAAGAAACAAATTTAGAATGCTCCATACTTCAGAAATTTTAACTCGCGCACAAAAGAACAGTAACATTAACTTTATAATTAAATCACAATCAAACATTTAATAAAATTTAATGGTCCTACATAAATAAACAACATAGCATTTGTCTCCCCCTTTTAAACTGACTTAAAGTTAGTTCACCAGAAGAGTAGTTCAAAGCCAAAGAGGTTTTTCTTATATTATCGTCTATAAAACCAGTTCCTACCAACATATTTTTAAATTTTAAACTTTAAAAGTAAACTTCAATGCTCTTATCAATTTTCTCAAAAAGTTATGTTCTCATACAAACTCATATCATTAAAAAAAACGTGATAAAAGCACATAATTATTATTATTTACAAACCTGCCTAGGTTCACTCACGTGGTCAGTTTCAACTTAAGTCAATACCTAGTTCTGACATAAATACTGTTACAAAACTTGAACTTTGTATACATCCTCGGGTATTATTTAGATAATCCTTACCTCTATCAGGTTATTTTCTTAACATGTCAAGATAATAACCCCAATCAGTTTGTATTTTTCTTTCGCTCAGTTAACATGGAGTGGGGTGATAAAGAAAACCGAATAGCTGTGATCCAACAAAAAGTTGGAAATGTAGGTCAGGAATTTTCAATACTTTGAAACCTTTGGGTGTTAGCCATATGTTCGTGCACCGCACTATAAATAAATATAATGAGACCCTATCTGTATGTTTAAGACCTCGACCAGGCCGTCTCCGTACTGTGAGAACGGCAAATACAGTGAGGGCAGTGGCTACTCGAACCAGAAGAAATCTCATTCGAAATCAACAAATCATAGGAATCTCAGTCAGATCAATGTCTCGCATAGTAAAAAGTGGCCTTAGGATGGGTGCATTTCGAAGATTGATTGAACAAAGGCTAACCACTTCCCTAAAAAAAATTAGAATGGATTGATGCAAAGTGCTCCTTGGCCGTTACACCAATGGTCTTCATCAAAAGATTTTGTTTATCAATAAGAAAATGTTTACAATTGTAGAAACATTTTATCGCCAAAATGATCGTATGTACGCACACAGCTCTAAAGAAGCTCAGGAAGTCATTGGACGAGTGTAAAGGGATCATCATCCTTCTTCAGTGAAAGTTTGGTGCGGAGTTTTCTTTGATGGCACCACAAAGCACCATTTTTGTAAAACAGGAACTAAAACAGCCGCTAAAAACTATCAGGACGATATTTTGGAACCTGTTGTCAAGCCCCTGTTTCATACTCTGTTTGCTGGAAGTCATTGGGTTTTCCAGGAGGATTCCGCTAAAGCTTACAAGGCCAGGTCAACTCAGCAGTGGCTGCAAAAGAACATTCCAGAGTTCATCTCTGCCTCGGGTTGGCCTTCAGGAAGCTCTGATCTCAATCCACTAGATTATTAGCATTGGTCTGAACTGGAGAGGATTGCATACCCTAACTTGGAAAGCCTAAAACAATCTCTGGTCCGAGCAGTTGAGCGCTTTCCTCAAAATATGTTGCGTGATGCTATTGATGACAGACCACGGAGATTAAATTCCTGTGTCAAGGCAAAAGGGGGCATTTGAGTCATTTATTTTTTGTTACTCTCTATAAATATACATTTATTTTTTTTTAAATAATTTTTCTTTAATTAAAATAAAGGAATGAGATGGTCCGGGGTGGCGGTCATGAATAGGCTAAATAGTGATAAAACTATTTTTATTAAAAGCCAATGTTTCAACCCGGCTTTGCAGGTCTTCTTCAGGGCTGGAACGGACAAGATACAAAAAGATAGAGAATTGTAGAAGTTACATAATATTTAGACAAAAAATTATAAACAATGTGAATAAGCTTAGAAAATTACAGTATCAGGTTCTAGGTTTTTCCCCATTACCCAAACAAGTAAGCTTCCCCTATACCTGCCCTTACCCTGGTTTTCCAGTTTTAAGTGAAACTCCTAGCTGAACACACCTGTAACTCTCTAATTTTATTTACTTATTTATTTAATTTTTTGGTTTCCTTTTTTCTTTTCTTTCTCCACATTCCTTTATGTCTATTATTTCATATTATATCCTTTTTCCTTTTCTTCCAATCTCTCCTGTATATCTGTAGAAGTATATTCACATTTGCATTTATTACATATTACACTACAACAATTGTCGGCATCTATTTACTTCAGTTTAGGATCTTGTTACTTAATTTACTCTCGTCATATTTTAATGTACTTACTGTTTATAATTTTAATAAGCTTATTCACATTGTTTATAATTTTTTGTCTAAATATTATGTAACTTCCACAATTCTCTAATTGAGAAGGACCATCTCATTCCTTTAATTTAATTAAAGAAAAATTATTTTATATTGAGGTCCTCTTCAACGCCATGCAACCATCGCATTCTTGGCCTTCCTCTCTATAGCTTCCCTTAAATTTTTCCATACAGCAGGCGTCTTGGAATTATCTTTTCTGGCACTTTTTCCACGTCTCCGAGCCATCTCAGGCGGGTTTTTTTCACAAATGATACCAGGTTGCCATTCATTGCACGGAGCTCGTAATTGTTTCTTAAACGCCACGTGCCACTTTCTCTTAATGGCCCATATATCCTCCTTTTCTTTTCCAGACATTGAGCTTCCTTTCACTTTCACTGGTCAAAACCCATGATTCACTGCCATATGTAACTAAGGGTCTCAGTATGATTTCATAAATCATGAGTTTTGCTTTTTCGGAAAGAGCTTTAAACTTTAATGTTCTATGTATGGCAAAAAGCACTTGTTACCTGTAGACTGCCTTGCATTCATTTCTTCTTTCGTGCTGTTGTCATGTGTGATGACTGCACCCAGGTACTTAAATATGCTTGCACTTTTAAAACTGTGATCGGCAATCTGCAGATCATGGTATTCCAGTTGTTGGTGCCTGGAAGTTTTGAAATATTTTGTTTTTCCTTCTTTTACACGAATGCCCGCTTCTGCTGCTTCCCTTTCAAACTCCTCAAAAGCTCTTCCCAGCGCTGCAGTGCTTCTTGCCATTATGAGCACATCATCCACATACGCCAAGTGCTGTGTGAGTCGATCATAAATTGTTCCATTAGGATTGGTTCGTATTGCCCTTATAGATTTTTCCAAGGTTAAATTGAAAAGGACGGGTGATAGTAAGTCTCCCTGCCTCAGGCCACTATTTACTGCAAATTCTTCTGATAGCATTCTCCGTATTTTTATCTTCATTCTGCTATCGTGCATTGTAATTTTTGCTAGCCTAGTGAGCTTCCTGGGAATTCCCAATTCAAGCATTATCTTCATTAATTCTTCTCTATCAATATCGTCGTATGCCTCCTTAAAATCGATAAACAAATTATAGAGGTCAACGTGAAATTCATATCCCCTTTCAAGAATTAGTCTGAATGAGAATATTTGATCGATGGTTGATCTTCCAGACCTAAAACCACACTGATAGTCACCCACTATCTGTTTGGATAACTTTATCAGCCGTCGGTTCAATAATACAGAAAATACCTTGTAGGCTGCATTCAATAGTGCTATCCCTTGATAATTACAATATGATAGTTTGTCACCTTTTTTATAAATGGGATATATCGCTGCCATTTTCCACTCTTCAGGCAGTCTCTTCAAACCAAACAGCCCACACCAAATGGAATATATATCTTTTTAAATCTTCCCCTCCATTTTTGAGCATTTCTGAATGTATGCCATCAATACCAGGAGCCTTATTGTTCCTTGATTCGCCAATGATTTCTTCAACTTCTTCCTGTTCAGGCGGCTCTACTTCTTCATCTCCTTCTCCGGGTACACCCAGTCGGCATTTCAGCAGCTTGATTCTTTCCTCTCCATCTTGGTGCTTGGATTCTACAAGAATTTCCCTGAAATATTCAGACCATCTCTGCAACATTTTAGCATGCTCACCTATTATGTTCCCTTCTTTTTTCTTAATCTGTAATCAAGGGACTGCGAAATACATAGGCATGTAACACATTTCTTCAAAAAAATTCAACTTATGAACTTGAAACTAATTAAAAATAGTCAAGAAATAATATTGTCTTAAGTACCAAACTGGTATAATTGGCAATGAGAGAGAGAAAAGGAATTCGCCAGAAGCACAGATTCACCTGTTTTAGGATCGGCGTTTCTCAACGAGTGGGCAAGAGAAATTACAAGTGTACGACAATCGGAATGCACAGTGGAGGTTACTGCAACTCTATCACCTTCTTCTTACCAAAGATGAAAATTGAGCTTGGTATACTCCAAAACACCTAACATCAAAAGGAAAAAGGACACCAAACTGACCCATCTCCTCCTTCTTCTTGGCCTACATTGACCGAAATGTGGGACATGTGAAAATGCTAATCTGAAAGTTGAATACATATTCCAGTGCAAAAATTTCCTTAAACAGCAAATTGATGGCAAATAACCATACAAAGGAAACAGTGGTATTCAAAAAACGCTAAAGTACATTCGACAAATAAAATTAATAAGTTATATCTAAGAAGAAAGATTGTCGCTAATGACCTTGGTAGTCGATGCGATGTTAAAAAACAACAAATAAAAAAAACAACAAAAAAAGCAATGGAAAATACTAATGTACTTAAGATGGCTTACATGCTTTTTTTCTTTTTTTCCCTGCCTTTCCTTATAGGCAATACAGTTTGTAACAACAGTATGCGTATGCCATTGCTGACAGTATAGGTCTATTTAATTAAAATTTTGTTAACATTATTATTTATGAGGTGTAGACTTGTTTGCGTGCACAAGCCCACACTTATCTTTTCCTCCATTATTCCACCTCGCGCGGGCTCATTACCGCGTATGGGGAGCGTCCCACGGGTGGCGGATGTGGGGATGGTCGGTGGAAATTCCTTGGAAGTTCCTCCCGGCTAAGTCCGATGGACTCGCTGACCAACAATGAGAGGGCCCCCCCAGACTTGCTGGAGGGAGGGGACCTCCAGACTTGCTGGAGGTAGGGGCCCACCAGACTTGCTGGAGTGTGACGTAGGATTGAACACCCTACTCACATATCTTTAGTTCACCAAACACCACAAATAGTCATGGATCTCCCTAAGGTAAAACGCTCATTATCCGGAGGCAAACTAGTCCCCCATTCGGGTCTCCGGGTGGGGACTGCTTTAGGGGATTCATGGCGCAAGTTGAAATATAGCGATTTAAATATTGGTAC